CAATGCCACAGGCCAGAACCAAAAGCTGTCGGGAATCATCAAAAGTGTACTGTTGTCCTAGTCTTGTTTTACTCGTAACACTCGTACAGCATTGGCAGGCTGTTCCTCGATCTGGGGTGGCTCCAACCCATCCTTCCCGTACACGACGAACAGCAAGGGAGAGGGCCCTGCCTGGGCAAACTCCTTGTTCGAAGACAATGCTGAGTTCGGCTTCGGCATGCGCAAGGCTCGCCTGCTGTCCTGATCAACGATAGCAGCGTGAATCTGCTGAATGTATTTCGGCGAGGCCTTTAAGCAGCGCCGCGACTACCTCGCATTGCAAGTGGAGGTCTGCACTCCGTTAAAGCTGAGGGCCGGGTCGAGTGTCTCCGTGAGCAGGGGGTTTCTCGTTGGCATGTGTTGGCCTGCAGGACACCTTGGCGGATCAGTCCGTGAAGATGTCCGACGAATTGCGCCAGGCCCTGCAGCAGTTCTTGGTGATGCGCAAGGACGCAAATCCCCTGACCCGGTTGTCAAGCTCGACCGCCGAACGGTTCCTCACAGCGGGCAAGGCAAATTGATTAGTCATATCGTCGCTGGCAGGAGCAGATGCACGACCTCTTGCTGCCAAAAGGCCGCAGTGCCTCGTCTGTTCGGCTGGAACAGAATGGCTTGCCCTGGCGTGTGCATAGTACCGGCACGCGGCTTCTCGCCGAGGCATCTACCATCAGATCATGGAGAAGCTCGTGCCGCTTTTGGAGAAGGACTTGAGTTTTTCTGCACATGACCACTTATCCAAGTCCACAACTGGCTTTCCAGGAGAAGACTGACCACCCAAAGATCCACAACCTCTATGACTTGCCACTCGGTGAACCATGCAACTACCATAGGAACAGCCGACGTCTTCGGTTCACTCTGTACCAACATGTATTTCTGATGCAGCCATTGCCGCAGCCAAGGGAAGACATGTTCGGCCGAAGCAGCTTCTGGATTGTTGGCGGAGACGGCTGGGCCTACGACATCGGCTACGGTGGCTTGGACCACGTGATTGCCAGCGAGGAGCATGTGAACATCCTCGTCCTTGACACGGAGATGTACAG